CTAGTGTAAGCATTACCTAGCAACAACTAAAACATCGGTGCATTATCAACTTTGTTCTCATCCTAAATCCAACACTGTACCAGCTACTAGAAAGGAAATTAACTCTATCCCTGCCGAAACCAGGACAGTATCCCAACAGACTAACATACTAGATTAGTTTCTTTCTTTAGAAATCTTACATTCGTATGAACATTTGCATTTTTTCTTTGTTAGTGAGAAAATTTCAGCAGCTGATGCATGAATTGTAGGAAAAGGCTTTTGGCCAATATTAGGAAAATTCTGAATTGAATTTTTGTCAGTGTGATCATAATGAACTTCAAAATTTAGATTAGAAAATTCTAAATTGATGTTTTCCTAAGAACAATAAAGCCTGCTACTTGGGGATGTGGACTTCTTCTCAAATTTAATGTCTTAATAACTTAATGTCATGCTTAGTGATACATTCCATACATAAGTATTCTGAATCAGTTTCCACCGATTTCTAGTTTTTAAATTTAAAGCCATTGAAATCAAGATACTATGGTTGGCTTTTGGCACTGAGACAGTAGACTGGGATTCTCAAAGAACTTAACTTAACATGCAGGAAAAGTAATCCTTTCCTAAATGTCTGTCCACAGGAATTCTTCTAATACTAGACCCTGAGAAATAAACTCCTGCTTTGAGTAAGCTATACTAAAATTTTCTTTGAGAATAGTTCTACAGTAAGAGAAATCCTATATTTCAGAAAAACTTATAATTGAATTTTACCTGCTTGAGAAAGAGAAAAAGCAGCACAATTTGAAAATTACGGTAATTCAGTCATAGTCTGTGCCTTAGATATTGTAAAAAGCTAAATGACTGTATTTTTTGTATGACTCTTCATACCTATTTTCCTTAATTAGGTAATGCACATATTTAAGCATGATGTTGGAAAGGAGGAATTAATCGGATTAAATCTATATATTTCACATGTAATTTTCTCTGTCTTCTAGAAATACCCACCTCTTTTATTTCAAAGAAAATAGCTTTCTAATGTCATATGTAATGTAACTGCAGACTGTAGATCAGTAGGTCATGGCATTTTGAATAATTTAGGTGCTGATTTCTAGCTACCATATTTTTTTTCCTGGTAGATTTCCCCTCCCTAATAACTATTTCATGGCAACTGTCAATTGCTTCTCTTTTAGTTCTTGAACAGATTTTTTTTCTTCTTGAAACATGAGTTTAGCCTAGTCTCTTAACATGACTGACACCATTACCTTTCCTCACTGTGGCATAGTGAATCACTGCTGTCAGGATTTTGATCTAGGTACAGTCCTTAATACAATTTTAAAATGCTGATATGCTGATATGCCAGCGTATTTTATTAGTTATCAGGCCTATCACAATTTTGAGAGTTCTACTAATATTGCTCAGTTCTATTTTCTGTTAGTTATTGCTGAATAGGATACACCGTATCTGTTTGCCACTGTGCCTCCTTGGACAGTTGAATTTTAAATTCAGTGTTCTAATACACATTGTTTTTTAGTATATTAGGGCCTTTGTTTTCCAAGCACTAATAATCTGGGAATTATTTTATCAGCTTCTGTCTATTCAATATATCAGCTTGGGTCTAATTAAAACACAGTGACCTGAAAATGGGCACTTAGAAACACATTTAGACACATTAAATAAGTAATATTACTGTGAATAGTGTCTTATTTTCAAATATAGTGAGCATATATGATTGTTTTAATGTTTATTGGAAGCTGTTGGTATTTAGAGTCTTTCTGTGTTTAGAAATATAACTTAAAATGTCAGGAGTACTTGGATTACACAGCAAAGTGGATGAATTAGTGCTTCTTAATGATAAGACAATAACCTTAGTATATTTTTTATTTAAATTTGGAATTTAATGCATACTTAAATATAAAGCATAATATATCTTTGCTTTAAGTGAGAATATTTGTGTTCTAACTGGCCAAACCTACTCAACGTTCCTAAAATCAGCATGGCAAGATTTTATTCTAATTTCAGTTGTCCTAATTATAGAAAAGAGCTTCTTTCCAGGACACACTCATTAGCCCATCTTTAAGATAAAAAATTAACTGACTAAAGATTTGTCCTCAGTTTAAGTATGGACAGTGGAATATAAGGAACATAGGTATGATTCTTTAACAAAGATTTGTGTCATGGGTCAAGCCACACTATAAAACGAGTAAGTTACAAAACGGATTGTAAGTTGTCTTTACATGCTTTTAATGTGATTTCTTGTTATGATGCTTTCCCGCTTCCTTGACAGAGGCGGTATGATTAAGTGAATGTTACATATTTTTGTGGCTAATTGATAAAAATGATCTAGAAGTTCATTGGTTTTACAGATTTCTCTCACAATTTAAGGAAAGAGTAACAGTAAACCAGAAAATAATGTAATTGACTTCAAGATTAAATTTGAAATGGCTAAATGTGGGCAGTACTTCCACAGAGAAAAATAGGAATTTGTCTTGGGTCAAAAGCACCAAACATATTGATAATGTTTTTCTCCAGCTGATGGTCTTGCTCTTGTGTTCTCTGCAAGGCATAAAATTCTTTGGCTCAATTCTACTTTGGACTGAGAGGAGGCAATAAGGAAAATCTCGGTGGTCTCTTTTATGGGGGTACTATAGAAGGCTTAACTATGCCCTACTTTTTTTTCTCTTTTTTTTTTTTTTTTGAAACCAAGATAAATCATGCCCTTTGTTTCATCTTCATTTAAAAATAGTTTCTGTCTTAGCACATATGGGAGCCTACAGTTGCAAAAGCTTTTTTGTCAGTGAGCTGACTCACATTGCTAGTGAAATTCCAGACTGAAAGAAATACAGATTCCATGAGTGTTAGCCTTCTGAGTTTTCTGTTCTGTGTGGCGTTGGCCGTCAGAGTACAGCTGAGCTGTTTGAGTGCAGATTATGTCCTTAATATGAGAACAGTAGACCATCGCCTTTAGCCAGAATGTTGGAACACCCAAATTCTTCACTATTATTCAGGTGCTCCTGTTAGGAGCACTCAGATGGCTTTCTGAACACATCAGGGCTTGATTCTGCAAGTGATGAGGTTTTCTGACCGTGTCCATCTTTTTTTCATTCTATAGATGATTGAAATATATAGCATTGGTGACTGTAGTCTAAGGAACTTAGTGATGTTTATTTGAACCAGAACTTCTACAGAAGGGGGGGCTGGTTAGAGTGGAGGGTGACTTTTTTATCATTTATCTTTTTTTTAAATTAAAACTATATGAGTTAATATTGGTAAAAAAAGTACTGTTCAAATACTAATGTTCAAAAAATCTTAAAAATTAAGAATAGCAGTTTCTAAATTATCAACATAGATGGAAAAAATCCACTTAGCTATTCTTTCAATAAAGCCTTTAATGGTTCCTCATGATCCTAAGTGCACAATGGACTGGCTAACCTAAGAAGAGGTTCTTTAAGGCAGTATTATCAGTATTATCACTAAGAATGGAAGAATTCCTTTTGCGAACTTCTGGTTTCAGTACCGATCTCTTTTTAACCAAGTACAACACATCCCTTTCCTCTTCTCCATCTCCTCCCCGCCCTTACAGCTTCTGCGTGGGATAAAGCTGCCTGTGAAATCTTTATTGTTTCGTGGAATTTTCTTTGATTAGACCAAGAGAGGAAGAATTATCTAATTGCATGTCTGAATAACACTGATCACATGACTCCTTAATTCCAGCTGTCCTAGCTGAAGACTGCAGCAGAGTATTTTCTAGAACTGGTTTTTTTTTCCCTGAGCTGTTCTTAATCCCTAGGCTAAGATGATTTCCACCAGGTTGTTAGTGTTATAAACTCAAGTTTGATAGTTCCAAAAGTGGTTTGCAATGGGATATTTTGAAGAATTGTCCGCATAACTAAACCACAGTACATCCCTGAAGACAGGAAATGTGCAGCACGCTGAAGATGCAGGTGGCTTTTTTTTTCCCACCCTAAAAACATATTGGAAGTTTTCCATATATGTTCTGTGATCTCTTTAAAAGTATAAACATTACACTTCAGCATCTAAATGATGTAGTAGATGTGACGTATACTGGCATAGTGACGTTTTTTGTACATGTACACTTACTCTTGGAAAGATTAGGTACAGAAGAGTGGGAGGAATCCTTGCCCAGTCCTCTCACAGATATTAACAGAAGCTTTTAACTTAATTTCCTACGTTTTTGGATTTGCCCTGTGGTATTCGTTCTCAAAAACAGTTGTCTTGACCACCTGTATATTTCTTTTTATTCTCCATGTATGCTGCCCTTAGGAACTGCGTGCTTTTCATCTCTTGATAATCAGAGAGCAACTTTCCAAATTTATTTTTATTCTGGAAACATAAAAAGGGAACATAAATCTCATATGTTTTAAAGATCAACTTACATTAGTTCTCCTGGAGCTGTTTAACTTTTCCTGCCTTCAATCAAGAAACTGCAGCCAGGCATCTTTTCTAAAAGCATTTACTTTTGTACCTAGGAGTCAAAAGGCAGAGGACGTTCTCATCAGTGGCATTGAGTATCTCTAGATACAGAGAGGAAACACCAGCAGACAAAAGTTAAGGTTGCAGATTGCTATTTCCTAAACCTTATAATAACATAGTTGATTTTCAGGGCAGCTGTGGATTTCATCCATCACCATTTTTCAGGATTTGTGGTGGACTTTATTCTCTGCTTCTAGGAATTTCTTTTTTATTTTAATTGTTATTCTTGCATTGTTAAGCTGAAATCACAGCATAATGACAACCGGCATTATATACCCCCACAGACACACACACACTTCTCCCTTCCTGAACAAAATTAGAAACAGATCTAGCAAATCTCTGAAATAGAAAGGCCACTTGTAACAATTTTTAAAAGGCTGTTATAAGATAAAAGATACATTCTGTCAATAGAAAATGGTACTGAAAAACAGAGGTAAATTAGTATAACTTGTTTTAACTATAATCTATTGGGTCTTTTTTCATGCAGATAAGCAGCAAAGATGAAGACTTCTTAGACCTTTCAGTTGATGTGGAGCAGAATACTTCAATCACTCATTGTTTAAGGTAAATGCAAAAATCTGAATTTTCATAATTTGTCTTTTATCTGTTACCTAGAAAGCAGGAATTAAAACTAAAAGCTCACAAGCTTAGCAAATTCTAGTTTATGCAAACTTAAGAGTATAAAATTATGTTTATATTGTACATGTTTATATGTATATTTCAGGTAAGAAACTCCTATATAGCATTTCTGTTTTTTTTTTATTCAGGGGTTTCAGCAATACAGAAACTCTGTGCAGTGAATACAAATATTACTGTGAAGAGTGTCGCAGTAAGCAAGAAGCACATAAAAGGTACATCAGACTCAGGGAGGGAAAAAGATAACCCATGCATTTAATGAAAATAATCTGTTTCCTTCTGTGTGTGTATGAGGCAGGGGGAGAACATTCTTTTTCCCTTAATTTTTCTCACTCTTCTTCCACTTAAGAGTAACTTGGTTGCATTCCTCTTGCTTGAATTCAATGAGCCTACTTGCATGAGTAATGAGAATCCACATAAAGCATTTTGGTACTGCTTTGTTCATTATTTATTTTACGAATGAGGAAAAGAATGGTCTTAAGACCAAAAATAAGTTAAAAAGGCAAGTTGAAACAAACTGCCAGTGACTAATCAAAGATTATGGGTAATGATGAAAAGTCACTGATTTCATGTGACTTTTAAAACTTGGTTTTGTCTTGATAATAAAATAATTTTTCCAATTGCTGTAAGGATCAGTTTGATAGCACTTTTTTTCTGATTCAGTCAGAATCATAGAATCATAGGATAGTTTGGGTTGGAAGGGACCTCTAAAGGTCATCTAGCCCAACCCCCCTGCCGTGGGCAGGGACATCTTCAACTAGATCAGGTCACTCAGAGCCCCGTCCAACCTGACCTGGAATGTTGCCAGGGATGGGGCATCCACCACCTCTCTGGGCAACCTGTGCCAGTGTTTCACCACCCTCAGCGTAAAAAATTTCTTCCTTATATCTAGTCTAAATCTACCCCCCTTTAGTTTAAAGCCATTCCCCCTTGTCCTGTCACAACAGGCCCTGCTAAAAAGTCTGCCGCCATCTTTTTTATAAGCCCCTTTTAAGATGGCGTAATGATGCTTGTAACTTTTGTTAACTGAGTTTCTGGTTTCTTAAAAGTGTGTAGTTAGTTTTGCTAAACTTCTGCTTGACAGTGCACCTGAAAAGCATCAGAAGCTCTGTGGAAGCCTGAAATTCGTTATGTTTAAAGACAATTCTTGTCTGCCTAATAATTCTTCTAGTCTTGCTTACACCTTTGAAAAACCTCAGATTTTGTATACTGTGAGGTATTTATTATCTGGGAAAGTATTTAGTTGAAGGGGTGGGAACACTGACATGCTCTACTGGTTATACCACTGATTCTGGTTATTTGGTTTACCATAGATTTCAGCACATGGCTTTTGGCATACCTCATCGGCAAAGTCTGCTTTCACATGTTGCCTAAGCTTACTAATTGTTGTGTATTAGAGGGTTCTGAAGCCAGGTCTGTCCTGTTGTTTTCTGTTGCCTTAGCAATTTTTCTGGTGGCAGGTAATGTGATCCCTGACCAATATAAGCTGTGTTGACATAAACTTGTACTGTAGGCACTGCCATATTAGCAAAACACAGCTTTTATTGTTTATAGTTTGCTTTTCATGTGGGGCTTAAGTTCAGTTTCACTACAGTCATAGTTTTCTTCCATCTCTGAAACATGGAGCTTATCTGTGATAGTGTCTACTCAACTAGCAAAGGTGGTGTACTGAATTTCTTCACCAGTGAAAGAGTTCATGTTGTCAAACACAGTTGCATTATGAGAAGAGGACTTCATTTGGAAAAAAGAAATAGAGCAGAAATTATATCCATATCTCAGTAATACAATAAAAATTTAACTCTCCCTAAAAATAGTTGCTTCTGTCATCTTTCTGCCCTTCTCCTGCTTGTTTCATTTCCTAGTTCCCTTGCAGGCCATGGAGAAAATTTGAGTCTAGCAAGGTTTCCTATAGGTTACTATCAGTCTAAGTTTAATGAGAAAAGGGAAGGAAGGTGAGTTTTTAAGGATTTTGTCCCCAGACCCATATTTTTTGAAAAAGGATTGTCTGGTACAAACATATTTCCTGACATTCTGAAAATATAGTCTTAGTAGACATGTCTGAAACCTGTGCTGTGTTGTTGAGACTTCTGAGCTACCTTTCGGGGCTGAAGGCAGTTTGAAAAATTCAGCATAGTGCTGATCTAAGGCAACTAGCTGTGCCAAGAAGCAGAACAGTCTAGTTTGGTCGCTCTGCTAGTAAGGGCAAATCTATTGCCCAGAGAGTGGAAGTCTGTGTTTGCTGCCAGGCCAGCTGTGGTTGGCTGATGAGGATTTGTAGGCACTGGTGCGAGATCTCAATACCTCAAACTAGGGAAAGGGGCCAGTGAGCCCTCAATAAAACTAGATTATCACTTTCTGGCTTTGACTGCCATAAAATAATGCTGCAACATTTGTACAAAATGATTGTGCTAGAGCACAGCATTATCTTGTTTGGATGGCATGAGGTAAGGTGAATAACAGTGGGCTATTTGTATCCCTTGGCAATGTTAAATGAATGGCTTGATAGGAAAACTTGGAGTAATACATATGCAAAAAAGTGGTGTAACAAAGCTTATTTTAAAAAGCTTTTTTGCCTTGGCTAGTTTACTGAGAAATTCAACTGGAACAGGATCTCTGGAACAACTTTGTTTTAATACCTCCACTGTATACCAAGTGGCATCTAGGTTTTGCTTTTGGGAACTCAGGAAAGCTATGGGGAGGTATGTTTAAAAATTGAATTCTGTGCTATGCAGTCATTGTGTCTAAATTATTATGTGGGTTCATCATGGCTGTTATTATATATTATAGCTTATTATTTTAAATAGATTTGCAATGCTATCAATTGTTAAAATCCACCTTTAGTAAACACCTGATTATTTGAGCTTCTTTTAACGCTTGCAAAATCTTTTAAAGACTTCAGTAAGACAGGTTTCCTGTTTGTTGATATCAACTGAATGTTTTGGCTGGATATTGGAAATACTGTTGGTTTTTTGTTGGGTTTTTTTTTCAGGATGAAAGTAAAAAAGCTGCCTATGATTCTAGCTCTCCATTTGAAGAGATTTAAATACATGGATCAGCTGCATCGATACACAAAACTCTCTTATAGAGTAGTTTTTCCTTTAGAGCTTCGTTTATTTAACACCTCAGGAGATGCCACCAATCCTGACAGAATGTATGACCTTGTTGCTGTGGTAGTTCATTGTGGAAGGTAATAACTATTTTACACAAGGTATTTTTGTGTAAGTTTAACTGTGTTTAAAAAACAAAACACCCAGTATCACATAACTCTAATAGCATTTAAAGACCTCTTAAAAGAAAAGTTTCTTAGGAAAGAAAGCGTTGTGGGGAGATGCTACCAATCCTGACAGAACATACGGCTTTCTTGCCATGATAATTCTTTGTGGAAAGTGATAACAGTGTACTTCACATGACTTTTTGTGTAAGTTTAACTGTGTTTAAAAAACAAAACACCCAGTATCACATAACTCTAATAGCATTTAAAGACCTCTTAAAAGAAAAGTTTCTTAGGAAAGAAAGCGTTGTGGGGAGATGCTACCAATCCTGACAGAACATACGGCTTTCTTGCCATGATAATTCTTTGTGGAAAGTGATAACAGTGTACTTCACATGACAGGTCTTTGCATGAACTTAACTATGTTTAAAAAAACCCACAAAACACGCAGTATCATACAACTGTAATAACATTTAAAGATCATTTTAAAAAAAAGTTTCTTAGGAAGGAAAGCATTATAGAACAGATTCCTTTATAAAGCATTTCCTTTGGGGTGGGTTTTTTTTAAGGCTTGAGCAACATTTTCTGAAGTATATCCATAAATTATGAGTTTTGTTGATTACTTTGTTTCCTTGCTTTCAAAATATGACTGTTAGATTTGTATTTGATTTTGCTGTATTCAACAAATGTTCTTATGGTTTCATGTCTTAAAATCATGGCTGCTCTACAAACTGCTGATTGATAAAAGCCCCGAAGTGGAAAATGATGATCTAACATCTAGAATCATAGAATAATTTACATTGTGAGGTCAACTACTTAAAGCTCAAAGCAGGGCTAACTTTGACATTAGATTAGGTTGCACTGGGCTCAGTTTCACGACTAGGAAGGCTGATTTCACTGCCTCTTTGGGCAATTTGTTCCAGTCCGTCAATGTTCTTACAGTGATTTCCCCCCCCAGTATCTGGTCACAATTTCCTTTGCTGCAGTTTGTGACCACTGCTTCTTGTCCTTTCGCTGTGCATTTCTGAGAAGAGCCTGGCTCTCATTTCTTTATAACTCTTCCCTTTTGGGTAGTAGAAGACATCAGCTGGATTCCTCATTTAGTCTTCTCCAGGCTGAATAAAGCCAGCTCCCTCAGCCTCTCTTCATCCATCTGGTGCTGTAGCCCTCTGACAAATGTAGTGGCCTGACACTGGACTTCCTCCAGTTTACCAGTCTCTCCCTTAAACTGACAAGGTCATGTTTGGAATCTCATGTCCAGTTCTGGGTCCCAGAATGCAGAATGGTGGGGATTATCACTTCACTGCTGGCTCTACTCTTTCAGTACAACCCTGCATACGCTCAGCCCTGTCACCAAAATGATGCGCTGCTGGCTAACAGCTCATCTTGTTGACCTCCTGGGCCCACCTAGCCAGTTGGTTTGCAGCTGGTGCTGTTGGATGGAGTTAGTCTGGCACAAGACCTTGCATTCATACTTGTTAAACTTCTTGAGGTTCTTATCAGCCCATTCTTTCAACTTTTTCAAGTCCCTCAAAATGGCAGATCTGCCCTCTAGTTGCCAGTTACTGCCCTTTGTTCCACCCCCACCCCCGTTACTGCCTAGATGGACCTAGTATTAGAGTAGGGGTAAGATGACTAGATCTCATGTTGGCCAGGACAGTTTTGGAAAATAAGCCTTTGTGCCATAGTCTTCTGGGACACTCTCATTCTGGATTTTAGGGAAAACAGAACCTGTCTGTTTCTGACCATTTCTTTCTCCTTCATTCAAGCTGCAGTCATGGAAACGTACCCATTGTCAGAGCTGTGGAAGGAGATGAACCCTGTTTTCATTGGGTTATATGACTTGGTACACAGACATGTCCCTCACAGATGGCAACCTTCCTTCCCTGATCTAGACATAAAAATTGTATGAGTGCTTTTAGCCAGTTAAGACAGTTCCAGAACTGCTTTAACTAGTTGTCCACTTTCAGTTGTAAGGTTCAGCTGCTTCAGAAAGTGTATTATTTCTTTACTTGAAATCTGATTAGAAATAGGACACTTTTAAAGTTTTTTTTTTCTGTCATAGTTGTGGAGAAATTTCTTGTCTGCCATACACTGAAGAGCTGTGGATTATAACAGTTTTAATTTAACTGGGAGCCCTTCTCATTGCTGTGAGGATTTGTGAGACTTCTAAACTGTCAGTTTAATTCAGTTTTTGTTTACAGTGGACCAGATAAAGAGATTCCTGATTGAGACTGTAAATGAACAGCAGCTTTTTCTTTCTGAAGATCAGAAATAGTTTGGGATCTGTTCTGTCCCTATGAAACATCAGAATGTTTTCTTGAATGCACTTCTCTGTCTCTCTTCTTTTTAAATTTCATTTATATTTTCAATGCCTGTGCTGCTTATTCCTCATTTGAAATTGTAATCCTTTTTTTAGCACAATATTAAATGTAGAGATAAGTAAGACCTCATTATGAAGATGATATAAGTGGAGGGGAAAAAAGAAAAGAAACATCCAAACAGAAATTGTACTGGTGGCCATTTTAATTACTGTTAAGTATTGCTTTTCTACAAGAAAAAAAAAAAAAAAGAAATACGTTTGTACATACATGTGTGTTATTGTCTGTGTTCTTTTCTAATTTTATTTTACAGTGGCCCTAACAGAGGACATTATATTGCGATAGTGAAGAGTCATGATTTTTGGTTGCTTTTTGATGATGATATTGTTGAGGTAAGCTTTGTGTAACCCTGGACGTTTTTCTCATACCAACCAGAGCGCATGCACCCTCCTTGTGTATATGATTACTTAAAGTAAAAGGACTGGTATGCTAATGAAAAGAGCGTTCAACCCCAGTCCAAATGAGCAATAATGGTGAGTGCAGAGCTGCGCCTTACAATTTGACTATACAATACTTTGAATTGCATTTTGGGTTTTATGCTTCTTAAAAGAAGCTTCTTCGTTTATGGCCGCTGTCTTTCACCTTTGTTTAATAAGCTATTCCTGTGGCCAGAAGACATGGCAAATAAGGATATAGATAAATTGGTTTTACTACAGTTCTTTTCTGAGGGCAATTTTTTGGAGCAAGCTGTTTGTTCATATTTTCTAGGAGCGTATGATTTAATGGAATGGATCAGTCTGGTAGTCTGTTTTATTGAGTATCCTGGATTGTTACAGACAAAGGTGTAACAAGTATCAAAATAGAAAGAAACTTCAGATTTTTGAGATTTTGCCCTGAAATTTAAAAGTTAATCCCTGAAACAGGAGCCTTTTGCCTCTGGTGGTATTCTTGCTAATATTAGCCGGGCTTCCAGGAATTTTTTTTATTAAAAAAAAAAAAAAAAAGGGTTTCTAACTAATTTCTTGGAACAGCAGGATTCCCCTTCACCAGTTTTGACTTTGTCATCTTTCTGTTTCATCAGTTATCTTTTATTCTTTATTGAGAGAAAGAGCAGAAACTGCTGGTATCCTTATATCATCTCAGGTTTTTTGCTTGTTCTACCATCTTCCTTTTTTCCCCCTTGTCTATGCTTATGCATGAACAGAAGTATGATTGTGCTGTCCACGTCCTTTTCCTGACTTTATTTAAATTAATCAAATCTATAAAATGAATAATTTACATTTTCCTTACAATACACAAGAACTGCATAATTGAAAAGAAGAAAAATGAGTGAGACAGGTATTGGACTTTGTCGTGGTTTAACCCCAGCCGGCAACTAAGCACCACACAGCTGCTCGCTCGCTTCCCCCCCGGTGGGATGGGGGAGAGAATCGGAAGGGCAAAAGTGAGAAAAC